CCGGAATCGTATTTTGTAAGAATTTCCATGGTTAAATATATCATACTGAAATGGAGTGTAAACGCACGCAAAGTGCTAGAGTAAATTTCATCCTGTTTCTAATGTTTCTTACCTATGAAAATCCCTCTTCTGAAGCACAATATATCGCTGCTTTGTTGACTACAAGTAATTCCCAGAAGCTGTGTCACGCTCAAAAGAAACATCTAGCGTCCTACTCCGCATTCCTTTTTGCCTTTGAGATAAAATAAACGAGAATAGATGAATGGGACATTGTCTATTATGCCGAACACTATATAGTTTATTTGTAATGAGATTTCTTACTCGTATGTTTGAGTCTTACACGTAATAAGCAATTTCGACATCCTAACAGCGTTTCATAAACAATTTAGTTGTTTTTACGCTACCGATATAAATCTAACGACTAATGCTCACGTAGCCAGTTCTTTAACATTCATAATGACGCATTGAACTTGACCCGCACACAATTACGGTTCGTTCGAACACGAGCAAACAGCTTCCAGAAAACTCTCTTTTACTCAACGCTACTACTTTATTCGTGCAAGTGTGCGAGTCAAAGGCGGGCTCGAATAATTCGTTCGCGCAAGCCTGGGGTTCCGTGTCTTCGCTACGCGGCTACTTACATTCTTCTTCTTTATCTAACAAGTTAAGCGTAGCGATGGTACACGCATTTGACCTACGTATATGTATACGCGGATGTACGGGAAGGCAATGTAAATAAATGATTTCAAGCAACGCCAGGCCACGCTACCGCTGCTAAATCATCCCGCGGATCAATCATACCTTTGTCGCGTATTACAACGGTGAATCCGGGAATGGGAAACGTCGAACATCAGCCAGGAAGTAATAGACGAGTAATAGAGTTGAGCACGGGGAATTTTTATGGGTAAATCGATGTTGCACGCGGAAAGGGCAAGACTGTGTGAGAGGGAAACGTCAGGCGACTCGTAGAGGGGCAAAGAGAAAGAGCGAGAAGGACAGCAAGAGGAAAATAGCAGGGAGAGAGAGAAGGCTCGATTGGTCGAGGAGAAGGGAGTAGCTGCGAAAGAGTGAGCGAGAGAGGAAAAGAGAGAGAGAAAGGTGAAATGTGTATACACGTACGATTGAGCGACAAAGAAGGTGAGAGGCAAAGGGCGCTAGAAATCTGGAGCGGGGATAGATCCAGGGGCTTTTGCGCTGTGCACGCGACCTTGAATGCCAGCCAGCCTAGACCTTGCCACAGCTCTTTCGCTCGGCTTGCCTAGTCCAGAGACCGCTCCGCCTCTACATACATACTGTTGTTTCGAGCGCCGCGCCGGCCTAAATCCGATATCTCGCTTCCTCTTTCTTCTTGCCTCACCTATCCTATGGCTTGCGGCGGGTTCAGGCCGCGCGCGATCGCACCGATTACGTAAAGATAAAAACTCGAATAATCGCTGGCTGGATCTCTGGTAATTTTACTTAGAGTCATATCGGTCGGTGCAATTATTTCTGAAATGCAATAATATTGCATTTTCTAGAGGAGCTTGGACCTAGAATCACATTTTGCTATGACTGAGCACTATCACATACTATGAGTGTACAAATTGTAATTTAAAACTTGAATCTATACTTATGCTTCTTGTCACTGCGCTTGAAAATACGATATGAATTTTTACATAAATATATAATTTTCTATAATTAACATATTCGTATGCTCCTTAATGCGTATAATGTTCTTCTCGTTTCATTTTTAATTCTATGTTGAAAATTTCAAAGGAATAATTTAGGACGATCAAACTGGAAATCAACGAGGAGGAAATTCTACAGAATATCGCATATTTACCGTGCAAACATCGAAGGATACAAAGTCGTAGCTTAACTTTCTATTTATACTCTTCTAATGATGAACTTGTACATTCTTTTCTAAACAAAACTGATTTATCTGACCTTTATCGTAAATATACAAGCATAGCAAACCTACGACTGAAAAGCAACAAAACAGATAGTATTTCTAAGATACGCATTTAGAAACATTCGTACTTACATCAGGCATTTTCATTTTTATGACATTATGCTCTTCTTATTTGTAAAAGGCAGACGAAGATATCGTTTCGCCTTATGACATACATGAATATTAGATACTTCACTGTAGGTTTGTGTCTACTGATCACGGAGCTTTTAGACTGAGGTTTATATTTCAAATCATACAAGAATAATACGTATCTGAAGTATAGCGTTCAAGGTTTACGATTCTGTTGCTCGCTGAAGCGTTCGCGCTAGATGGGATCATAACGGATCTTTGGACGCGACCGCGCCTAGAATCCAATGGGTCCAACACAACTCCGCGGTTTATCCACCTGACTTTTTATGTTTTTGCCAAATTGTGCACTTCTTAAGATTGCAGCGGCATCTGCCTTGAGAATCGCGAGGCGTTCGTAATCACGTGACTACAATTGCACCGGTTTTCTACTCAGATGTTACCGATCACATGATCTATTGAAGTTCGTGCCAAATTGCACCGATTCTTCATTTTCAATGGATAGTGAGCTTAAATTGATTTTGAAGAATTATGAAATTCGTTATTATACGTTTCCAAGTATTAGGTAATTTTATTATCTTTGTATTTTATGTTTCTTCTGAAAAATTGTAAATTATGAAGTAAGGAAAGCGAAGTATTCTTATGAACGATATAACACTTTTAATAAATATAGTAAAATATGTTATATTGTTATATATATGTGTGTGTATCATTGCGAGTAACTTTATAAGTAATATATTTGTACTAAAAAACAGTATGATATATAGTACGATAATATGAAAGAAAAAAACGTAAGCAATGTGTATACATAAAATTCCACGAATGTAAGTAAATTCAAATATGGCTGAAGATATCACATGTGGTTTACTATATATAATAAAACTTTTATAACTTATTCTATTATATTTAACATTTTACCAAACAATAATATAATATAAAAAAATTATTTTAAGTTCTAGCGTTCTTTATTTTAATACAAAATCAAAATATTATAAATTAAGGTATTATTTATCAAAAAATGTTTCGGAATACTTTTGTTGTTTATAGATGTCATATCTAGCACCGATGTAGAATCGTAGTGCACAAAGTATGTAGTACATAAATTTGTAATTGTGCTAAATCTAATATAATATTCAATCAAAGTACACATTTTTACTACGTTTTGTCTGTCGGAATTAATTTGAATTTGCTTTATTAGGTTTGTAAGAGATATTTTACTCTATTATTTAAAAGGTGTATTGCGCGGGTACTCAAAGTCTTGTGCCGCCACTGGGACAGAATTCAAATGTGTGCCGCTTCGAGTTCCGCGTGTCGTATCGTGGCGTGTAACTAAAGAGGTTCGTTGATTCGATTAGTGAGTGTTTGAAATTGGTGATCGTACGAGTTATTCATTATGAATAAAATGAAGTTCAGAAAAAATTTCAAGTATATTCAAAATTACAATTTTCCACCTACAAAACTTCGAAATGTATTTTGTACACAATGTAAACACCAATTTTTTTTTGAAGGTAATCATTCACGTTCTCGAGTCATTTACTTGCCGGTGTTTTATTCTTTCGATTATTTACATGTTGTACATATTAAATCTAAGCGAAATACTTATTTTTAACCTTTTGTAATGTGATTTCAACAATCGTATTGTAAAAATCTTTTGATCTACTTCCATGAACATATATTTTTGTTAATGACATTTTATAATAAGGAAAAACAGGAAATTTACACAAGAAGTATGCCTGCTACTTTCCTTTGTAATTATAATATAAATGATATCCCAGAGGTTAGAATAATATATAAATTAAGGTTGATAGCATTGTTTAGATTTGTGTTACTCATGCCATTTGTAAAGTATGATTAGAAAAAATACTAAGAAAGCTTTATCTTGTTTGTTTCAGCATTTGTTCCTATGCGTGGTACAATACCTTTGTTATTAGACTGTGGACATATAATATGTGATAAATGTGCTAAATCATTTATTAATCAACCTTGTCCTATATGCAATATAATCTCAGAGTGTGACAATAATAATATACTTCAGTTACCTCTAAACATATATGCTTTGGGATTAATAGTCATGTCACATAATCGACCAATTAATACAGATGATCAAGATATTTCTTTTTGTAAACCTTCTACTTCTAAATCAAAGCAACAGAGCATACAAGGTCCGTATCATATTAGAGAAGGAGAAATTATATTTTTTAAACGATGCTTTAAGTTACAATGAAGTATCCTTCATTTTCAGGTTTATGTTCTGAATGTGGAATTCAAGCAACACTAAAGTGCCAACAATGTAACGTTCTCTTTTGTCATATTTGTTATTCCAAGGTATATTGCTTATTACAACTGCTTTTTATTACATTATTATTTGTTTGTTTTTGGGGATGTATCATTGATTGCATTTTCTATAAATTATAAGAGTATGTATGTCATAGTTAGTTTTATCTTTATGTTATATTAGATTCATGGGAAAGCGCTACAAAATCATTCAAAGGTCGTGCTAACGGAGGAAAATAATGAAAATTCCTTCATTTTAAAAAATACTTGCTCAGAACAGTGTCTTGAACGGATAGGATATTACTGTGAAAATTGTGATATAGCTGGATGTTCGCATTGTATGATACAATTACATAAACAACATAATTATTTTCCTTTAAGCCAACAGGTTTGTATTATAACCGATGTAAACAATTTATTAGTGTGACACTGAAAAGAAATAATATAGTTTTATTCGTGTGTTTATTAGAACAATAAACTGATGACTGAATTCCACGACGTGTTTGACCGTGTGAGTGAGAATCTCAAGAGGGTTCAGCAGGTGCAAAAGGTAAGTTTAAATTAATTTTTTATTCTTATTATGGAAAGGTTATTAGATCTTAGAGCAGATTATTAGGAATTATAGTGCATGCATAATAAAGAAAAATATTCATGTTAAATGGTAAATAAATAATTTTATTATGTACTTGCAACAAAGTATTAAGTACAAATATTAATTATTATCGTAGAATCAATTTGTTGCAATATAATTAATTGTACAAACTGTTCTCTGAAGTAGCAGAAATTTTCAAATTAATTTATCGTCATACTTGTTTATAATTGAGTATAATATGTTGCATATATGATATATACCTAATATATAGAAGACTGTTATTTGTCTGTGAAATGCATGTATAAATGCAAACTTTTTTTTATAAAGTAATAAAGAATATATGCTGTCATAAATAATTACATAATACAAATATGACTAGAGGGAAGAAAAATACTTATTGACATTATCGATTGTTCCATATGTGTCCAGTTCCTGCATTTCCAGTTGCTTTAAGTGCTTGAATAATTAGATACTGCATATTAAATATTTCATTACAGTAATAATGTAGTAATTTGATTTCTTCAATCTAGAGATCTTATACCAAACTTTTCTTATAAAATACACTATATATATAAGAATAAATCACACACAAACCTATAATAAAAATATTGCACATTTTTGAGTTTCACAAAATTTCTCCACATCCAATGATGTGTAAGAGACACAACCTACAATCGTTCACTGCTATTTATAACAAATAATGGCAACAAGGTATATACGTTAAATACGTACTAGAGTTGAATCAGCAAAATTACAATAATTTAACTAGGATCTAGACATATCGATTATTCATTTTCTTTCTCCTGTGTTTGTTGTTTATCCTTGAGTTTTTCTTTTTGCTTCTCTTTCTCTTTCTCCTCCTGCTGTTTCTTCAGCTTTTTCTCCTTCAGTTTCGCCTCCATCTCTTTAAATTTGAGTTCTAAATACCGATCTACTTCCGGACCGGTGAAGTCCTCCGGGAACTTTGGCATTATCGGCAGAATGTACTTGTAGAGTCGTTCGTTTAACACGTATAATTGAGTTGTTGTTTCGCATTTCACGTTGAACCACCAGTCGCACGTCAACGCCACTTGACTGAATATAGTACCGTTCGGGCATAAAAACGACGATTTACCACCATTAAGATCGCAGTAATGCCATACCTGCGAGAACAACATTATTATCACTGTTAGAAATCGCAAGCAACTTTGAAATTTCTGTATACAAGGTGAACAAGAATAGGTGGTACAAGTATCACGCAAAGACAAATTTTTTCAATCATCGTTTTTCAATATTTGTATACGACAATAGGAGCGAGAGTTCCAATAATTCCTTAATTAATACAATTAATAGATTTATTAACGAAATTATCAACATTACTTATTACTTGATAACCTTTATGACATCATCCAGGCATTAGTCATGAGAATTTATTTGTTTATAGATCTTTCAAATTTTTATATATAACTCTACATATCTTTTTTCATAGTTTCGATTTATATCTATATAAGATATCGTCCTATGTTTAATTGTTCCACTCATTCTTGCCTAGTTTGTAATATAAGTCGTCACACAATCAATTTTATTATTAGAAATTTAATATTAGAAAATACAAAAAATAAAGACATTACCTGGCATCCAGTATCTGGATCGCCAAAGAATCCTTTGTAACGTTGCTCCTTACAATTGAAATTCGTACGAGGTATACTAGAATAGGCCGGATAATCGACATTAGCCTTTCCTCTGGTAGCACCATATTTTAGCGACGTCTGTGGGACAACTTCCGTGGTAACAGGTGGCAAAGGATATCGTTCCTGTTGCAATACATCGTCACTCAAATCCTCCGTGATAGCGTAGGAATGATCAGTCAGATCTTCGTTGGTTTGCGGTCTGATCGTCGGTAGGAACGGTTCTTTCTGTTTCGTTGGAATTTCTTGCACAATAGGAACATAATATTCCACCACGTTGTTGTTGGTCAAGCTGTTCGTGTTGTAATTCGACTGAGGTGGTGGTTTAGGTTTCGTTTCATCCTCGTACGACGTTATTTTGTAACGTTCAGGATCATCGGTCAAATATAGCGGATTTGGTGTAGCTTGAAATCTCGTCTCGGTTATTACCTTTGGCCTCGTTTGCGGTCTTACCCTGAAATTCGTTGGTTTCTCCGGTATCCTGGGTGGTAGAGGTGCCACCACTGGTGTTAAAGGAGACGCTTGGATTTGCGGGAATTCTTCCTTTTTCGTGCTGTGAAGGATATTCAATATCTCTACAAGTGTCTTTAGACTATTGTCTATGTTATCCTTGTTCAATGTTTCTGGTAAACGTTCACTTAGTTGAAAGCTTTCCACTATTTGTTGTAGGTTTACGTTAGGATTTCGTGGTAGGGCGAGCATAGGAGATTGTTTACTCGCTGGTAGAGGTTCCAGCACGTTGGGATACACGTTAGGTAGTGGAATTTGTCGGTGATCTTGGAATTCCTTCGCAGGATAATTAACAGCAGTACTTGGTCTGACATTATAATCAAGCATGTACTCATCTCGTAGATTACTGTAAATAGGTTTAATGGGTTGTTTTCTAGGCAAGTGATCTCTGCCATTTGTTGTGTAAGGTCGTAGTGGTCTCACGTTTGCATAGTATCTGTTCTCCTTACGGATAGCTTGGCTGGATACCGTAGTTATCTCGGGATACGCTACCTTTTGATCCCGATACAGTTGATACGGTATCGGGTACTCTTCATAATTGACCTTCGAACTGTGTCTCACGGGTGTGAAATAGTCGCTATCGGCTCCTACGTTTCGCGGATCGTATTGTATCGATGGAATGAATTTCTTGTCTTGATTCGGTACATTCGTGCGATAATTGTTCGTCCTTCGTGGCACGGTATTCACTCTGACGAACGATTGCGGGCTCTTTCTCACTCCTACCAGGCCACTTTGTATCTCTTTTCCAGGAGTGCCTTGTGACACCGGGTTTTGCCCGTTTACGTAGTTGTTTGCTACGTAGAACGTCATGTAGGGTATCAGTCTCCTGTACCTTTCTTTGAATTCCTCCAGCGTGATGTCTGGCAACGATTCGTCATCTTCTTCGTCGACTACGACTTTCGTCGAGTTTGAATCAGAAGATGCTGCGCTAGTCTTGGTGGTTAACACTGTAACAAAAAATTAAAATTAATTCGTACGAGGTTTTTTCTATGTAGAATAGGTATTAAGTAAACACGTATATTTTATAGAGCATAGAGAATGCAAAAATTGTCGACCCAATAAAACTAGCCGGCATAAATAACGAAACGCAAAAAAAGGCTATCCCGTTAACCAAGTAAATAGATCGATCTGCGCGCGAATCACAAGCTAGGAAACAACTTGCATAAAATACGCTTGAATGGTTTAACACAATTGAAGTACCGAAATGGTTAGAGGGTCGCGCATTTGACAAACGTATCGTACGAGTCCCTTTGAAATTTAAGTGTTTTCGAGTGTTGCGCGAGCGTGTCGATGAGAGAAGGACAATAATAATAGGAACGATCTGGCGAGTTCTAATTACTACGACGATCCTGGTGCGGGGAAGCTGATAAAAAGACCAAATGGAAATCGAGGGCGGTGGGGAAAACAGAAAATTGGAGGAAAGTATGTGAGGCAACAAGAAAGAAGGGAAAAAGAATCAATTCAACGCGATAACGCTGCCTCGTAGCAACGCGCGAGACATCTTCTTAATCGGTCTTTTAAAAAGCTACCAGCGTGCATAGTTATACCTCAACGCGCCTATTTCTTCCCTCCCGCTCTTCTTATTCTTAATCTTTTCCCTCTTGCCGGGTTACGTGCGAAGTAATGCGTACGCTGCACTCCGGTCTGGTGAAATTAAATTAAGGGGAAAACATTCGTAGAGCTGGCCAACGCTTTTGTACGTGCACCGAGATAGCAAGAATAAAGACCGTATCGGTGTGTACCTATATACGAACACGCATGCTGATATATTCGAAGCACTCAGTGCGCGAGCGCGTTTGTTCCCTTGCGTGTGTGTATGCGGCCGTGCAGGATATATTCGCCCTGGCACGTTCGAGTGCTGCAACCACTAAAAACATACCAATCCTCCGGCTCTGCTCTCCTCTGGCTTCGAACCTCAACCCTACGCGTGTACGACTACTTTTCCCCTTTATTCGCGTCTTGCTCGATCGTACAGAATGGTTCAATCTTTTGGTGTTGCTGCAGACGTATGTACGCTGCCTGGTTGAATCAAATATCCCTGGGAAATGGAGTCTGTTCGATCGATTCCGTTGCCAATTATTCCCGTGTTTAACAGCTAATTATGTTTTCTTCATTTTGCTGTTCTTTCATGCTTCTTCGTTGCAAGGTATTTGCGGCTCTTTTTTTGTTCGTACGTTTCGAACGGATTTATTAACTTTGATTAATAGGTCTTGGAAACGGAGGGTGGAACTATTTGTGCGGCGATTCTTTGTTCATTCTGAAGAAAGATACAGTTAACTCTAGTTGATAACATTTTGCTTGACTACGCGGACTTTGATCAATATAGCTACTGCACAGCGCAGCTAATTAAGAAGTTCTTCATGTAAAAATAGGAGAAGTTACTTTGTGTTATCGTTATTGCATTGATTTTCATCTTGTTTATTCTTCTTTTAATTAGAAACATTTCTTAACTTTGTATAAAGAATCGTTCGTTTATGGCGGATTTGAACGTACTTATTTCTATGCAAATAATTTCAACTAGAGGCATATAAATTAGGACTCAAACTAAAGATTACTTAACCTCTCCTTCCGAAACAGTGTTGATTTATCTTCGTGCATTCATATCGATTTCTTTGTATGAATAGTTATATATATATATATATATATCTAGAACTGGTAGAGAATGTGCACAGATTTTCTACCATTCGATTTCATTTCTTTATTGCTTGAAAAGATTTTTATATGGAAAGTTGCGGAATATTCCTATCGGCTGAAATGAAAGCGATGAAAAAATTCATGTTTGCGAAGAGATAACTGTGGATGAAAGTTTCATGTTGTTGGAAAAAGTAAAAATTGAAATTTTGCTGGTTTAATCGACGTATACGATCGGTTAACGCTTAAAGAGTGATATTATAAAGGTGCTCGATTATATTTACCTTCAGTCAGTATTCAAACTTTCATCCTCAATCTATTTGTAATTTTTATACTTTTACAATCTCTATTCGTAACACCCGATATTACTCGTATAACGAACACGTGCTAATATCTCAGACAAAATCCTCCAATCCTCGATTCTCTTTCTCTAAACGAACGCCAGGAGGCCGTCTTCGCTATGCCTGATTCTGTTCGTCACAGAGATGGTCGTATTCGGTGCAAAGGAAAATGTGTGTGTGTGGCCATAAACCCGACGCTTCTCTGTACCCTGCATGAATTTTTATAAACCGATTATTTAGTGGCGATGTAACATAGTACGTGGCTAGGTGGTATCGTTTTCGCGTTATAGATAGACAGAGATAGAAGAAGCTCAACGGTATCCGAGCGTGGCACATCAAAGGGACCCAGTCTCTCTGTTGCATTGCACACAGATATACACCGACCCCGACCTGGAAATCCAATTCGATTCTGCATGAAATGAGTCTGGAAACTCTCCGCGTAGCGCGCGCCGCTTTATTAATCCTGTCAGTACGGAACGTGATTGAAAAATCCGCAAAGCGCGTGTGCCGCGAGTAACTCTCTCCGTTTGCCCTGTCTAAAGAGGTGCTTGCCCTGAAAATTTACAAAGCGCCGTCGCCTATGTCTGTATCTGCGTAAGAATGTGCACCTTCCTTCGGGATAACCGGACTCTTGACCTCTCCACCCTTTACTTTTGCATTTCCCCCTCTTGTTCGCGCGAACCCGATTCTGCTCGACAAGTTATGTTCACACTCGTGCTGGCCTCATCACAGACACTTCGTTTCTCGTCGAAGAAAATTTTGGAGAAACGTTTGGAGTACGTTGAACTCGTACTTGAATGATATTGCTAGATAGCTATGTATCTTAGAGAATGGCGATCCTTCGCAGGTTTGATTTCTTTAGTCCGCGAATTTTCTATCGCGATGAGCGATCGGCGCTTTACCGAGGTAGGTTTGGGATTGTTGGTCGGTAAATTTGAGACATACAGGACTGTCAGGCTATAGGAAGGTTGTAAGGATACAAAAGCCTCAAGTTTTCTTGAAATTTATTTGTTTTACATATAAACTTGTGATAGTAACAGAGAAATACAAGTTAGGCACAGGTTTCTTCGTATCACAGTGACGTAGATACTTTTGCAGTTGATTTTAGAGTATGAAATCTTGACGAAACCTAGATCTCAAAATCAATCAGCATTCGATTCCTTTGTAGGAAAAGCCAATTGTTATGCCAATTTCTAATAAATTTCATTACACACCTCGATAACCTTGTACCGTTCTATCGATTCGTCACAAACATGCAGATTGTCGTTTGTTCAACCTAAAAATTCCGTGCCGAAAATTTACAATGTAGAGCCACGTCCGACTCTGCTAATGAACGTTCTCCCTGTTCAATTTTTTATCATTTGATTACCTTGTTCTCGCAAATACCTTTTGTTTTCCCAAGCTTCAGATGCTCTTTTCTTTTTGTCTTTTTAATGCCGCTCGTGCACGGTATATTCACACTGAGGCGAGTATTAATTTCGTATGCGATTCACGCACGCGAGTTAATATTTCCGGCAAAGGCGTCGCGATAGTTTTTCACTCGTTAAGGAACTTTCGTTTTCCGCAGGCGGGAAAATGAGAAACGGGTTTATTTGGTCGGATGTTCGGAGCGCGTATTGCCTCGCTTTTTGACACGGCCCTTCGTCTCCTGGCCCATACAATAAATAAAACCGGCGGTCGCAGTAATTTTACCGGCTCGCGCGATTGGGAATATCGACGTTGCTCTGTTTTCCATAGGCGATATCAATTGTCCGCAGCAGTTGTTCTCTATTCTGTTGGTCTCGTGTCTCTGAATTACGATTGTAACGATAGGCTTGTATTACGCGAACTGGTGTCCATGGATTTTTGTTTATTTTATGCCGTCGAACCGCGAACAAGACAAAATAGACACCTGGCCGCGGCGGGATTTTTATTATCCAACAAGAGTGCGACCAACCAATGAATTTTTTTCTCGCCCCTTTTCTCACTGTGCTTCCTTTTTTTGTTTCTTTCTTTTTTCAATTGTAGATTCTATAATAAATTGCGTTGTATTTCACAGCGAATCCCGACTATTCGATTCTTCGGCGTCCGTCTCGAAACCCGGTGACATTTTATGTTATTGTTTATTCATTTTTATAGAGGGAATTAACAGCGTTCAAGGATTAAAAAATGTTAAGAACGTCCGTCTGCTGGATTATACGCGTTCTTGTCAATTATGGAGGTTATACTAATTCGGTCGTACGTGGGGACGGAGGAAAGAGGTTGTTTTGTAAATTCATAAATGCTCGCGTTAAATTTATTATTGCCATTGTAGATTGTAATATCTCATCTCTGGCAATATAACTTTTATTCCATTTGAAATTAATTTGTAGCTTGTAGTTTAGAATAATTTACTAATCTTATACTTTCTCACTATCATAAACGGAATTTCTGTAGTCTTTGTTTTTAAAAGCATCGTTTTTGTGACCAGATTAATCTCCGAACTAAAACAACACAGCGTGAGTCTTTTTTTGGCCATGTTCGTCTCAAATGTCTTTGTTCTTTGTTTATATAAACATTGCCGTTTCGTTGACTACGCAGCTACACGTACACTTCACGCTCGTGTCACATTACATTGCTAATGGAATTTCAGAATGTTTTGTGTAACATATACATGATATGACTAGGACTCCAGATACTTTCGTGAGTCATGGTATGTTGCAATATTTCGGGTCTCGCCGCGGATTGATCACCGCGTCTGTTTCTCTTTACGCTGCACGGGTTTCTACATTTGTGCAACGTATCGTGGCGAGTGGCCACGACACGAAAACTCGACGTGTCCGGCAGAATGTCGTGCCGATTCATCGGTATCTCGATACGGAATATTAATTGACGGCTATTGGTCTCCCGGATTACGTTATTTCGAAGGCACGTGATCTGGAAGCGTGACAGACGAGGAGTCCCATTGCGAGACAACTACTCAGTAGACGCAAACGGAATTCAGAGGCTCTTCTCCA